ACTTGGAGGGTCAGTGGGACTGAGTAACAATGGAGCAGAAAATGGAATCCACTATATTATTTAGGGTTTAGGGTTTAGGGTCAGGGGGACGTAGTAGGTGGGTTAAGAATTTGGATGACCAGCGTTACTTTTATGGGTTATAGGGTTTTTAACCTACTTACTAAGTCCCCCTGACCCTCCAAGTAGGGTTTAAGGGTTTCGGGGCTTAGGGGTTCGGGTTTAGGGGGTATATTCCCCCACTAATGGAGAATCAAACGCAACATAGAAAATGAAATGGAAACTGGGATGGTAGAGAGATTTAGCTGCAAGGACCCTCGTTATACCCTTAAATGGGGGGGATATGGTCCCTACTAACAGGTATTTGAGATCTATAGAAGGTAGATGGAGGGTCTTGTTTTCCCTCTTCGTGGCCTAGTTGTAGATCTTTTTTCCTAAACTGGTGCCGCATCTTTTTCAAAGAAGGCCGTGTGCATGAGAATCTGTTGGGGTTATATGAGTGTTGTTTCTCAAAGCACGAGCCCCTTTTGATAAGGGTCCAACATGTTTTGTCCTCGATGCGAGGTAGGAATAAATATAAAGGTCCCTACGTGCGCCCCACAAATACAGATATCAGTGACATTACGGAGTTCTATCCCTACTTCACACCTCTTGGGGCCAGCCCCTGTCTGTTTGGTCTATACCCTTCCCGAAGTCCTAATTACACCCCAAAGCAAATCCTAAACTGTAAAGCCCATTTTTAAGCCCCACATCCCTAAACCCCATTCCTCTCATCCTTATGCTCTAAACTCTCTGAATTGCCTGCCAGGTCCCACCTAGTCTCCACGGAGTCTGGGCCAGTGTTGGGTTGATCTTTATTTCAGTTTTGTTTAGTTTCAGACAAATTGTAGACCCCAATACGAAGTGAGATTGTATCCTCCTTTGGCATAAGAAGAACAGAGCCTTTGTTGCTTCAACAACAGAAAGCATTACTCATGGATTGTTTAAGCAAAGCTTGCAACCCCATAGGGGGATGTCTCACAGGCCTCAGAAGCATATGTCCAGGGATCCGCGGAACATATGAACTGTAGTCTAAACTGCTCAAAGGGTGGTTACATACGGGATTACTATAGGGGTTGCTAAGTGGGATGCTAGGAGTTTAGACTATAGCTCATATAGCGACCATGGGGGGGCTATATAGGTTTCACCTGTGAGATTATGTTGGGAGCTTCGCATCTCGCATCTAGGGTAGGGCTTCATGATTTAGAGGGGAAATCGCGCTACAGCCCACAAGTGGCATTGGCACTGGAACTTGACATGCTCACACAATGAACCGAACCGCTCTTTTCATTTTTGTTGTTTTATGAGGTTCTCAGGATTGACACCCTAAACCGCAAAAATAACAACTACTTAACCCCTATAGAACCCTAATACACTATAGAAGTTTCCATGTTCTTTTCGACTATCCCTACGTAACCCCTTTCTTATATAGCCCCTATATAACCCCCACATACTATATAGTGGTTTCCGTTTTCTTTTCGATTATCCCTGTATGACCCCAATATTCCATATAGTCCCCAAATAGTCTAAGCCCCAAACCCTAAACCCTAAAACCCGAAGCCCAGGAAACCGGCGGGGGCATTGCGGCTATGCTGGGTGAGGTGCTCCGCATCGGCCAGGCGCACCGGGCGACTTTCAACACGGCGCTGAACGTTCGGTCTTCCCGGTCTCACCTGGTGACTGGCTGATGATTTTAGTGGGGAATGACTCCATGGATCTCTAAAGCAGTCCCTAGGTCAACCCTCATAATAGTTCCTGAATCCCATTCTTAGTGTTTAGGGTTCAGAGGTCTAGGGTTTAGGGTTTCGCTATTCTAGACACAAGGTGATGATGCTCTTCCTGGGCAGTCGGAACATGAACACGGGATGTTTGCAGCAGGCAGCTGGGCAAAGTGCAGCTAACTCACTCACCCAACTGGTGGTTTTGTAGAGAGAGAATATCCTCAACACGGTTTTAGTTCACAGGATCCTGATTCAGCCTGAGGCAGGAAAGCTGAGCTTGGTGGACTTGGCAGGAAGTGAGCGGCTGAAGCGCAGCGAGGCTGTGGGGGAGCGTAGGCGCGAAGCCCAGCACATCAACCGTTCACTGAGCGCCCTGGCGGATGTGATTTCTGCAAAGGAGAGGCGGGTATCTCATGTGCCCTACCGGAACTCCAAGCTAACGCAGCTGCTGCAAGATGCTCTTGGTGGTGCGGAGCATTGTCGTACTGTGGTCATCGTCACACTGCCCCCGACTAGAGAGTGCCTCAACGACACGCTCCATTCGTTGCAGTTTTCGCAGCGTCTGACAGCTGTCGCCTTGCCGACACCGGTCTCCTCCCGCATCGATGCCAGCACCAGGGGCCGCTATCCAGGGTCAATGCGTTTGGAGGGCCAGGAGAGCAGGTCACAGCTACTGCAGGAGGTTGCGCGCTGGCGTGCCGAGTTCGAGAAAGCGCAGGCACAAAGGGACGAGCTGAAGACAGCCCTGGAGATGAAGGACAAAGAGCTGCAGGAGGCGCGGCGCCGCAATGCGGCACTTGTAGCAGCTGCTGACCGCCCGCCAGTCTCGCTTGTTCAGACAGCCCGGGACATACCCGTGGAGAGGGCGCGGGAGACGGCTCGCGAAGCGGCCCGGGTCGATCGCGTCATCTCTTCCCGGGTCACGCGTAGGTCGCCGTCTCCAGGAGCTGTATCGCCTCGGATTGAGCCACCGACAGCTGTACCATCCGCACGTAGCAACATCCCGCAGCCCAGACCTTTGAGGCCACTGCGGACCTCGAGGTCAGCAGACTATGCCCCAAAGCTGCCCGGCAACCGCTGGAGCCCCTTCGGCCCAGTGCACGAGCGGAATCCGCGGCGTGGGCAGAGCCCCACAGCCCCGCGATCCAAGCGCAACGCCACGACGTCTCCACCGCGGGAGCCCCGTCAGGACCGGGTTCTTGTTCAAAGCCATGCAGAAGTGCCAGCTGGAATCATGAAGCGTATGGCGTGCACTTGTAAGTGGCATGAGAAGTACACTTCCGCAGAAATAGACCAAAAAGCCTCAAGTGGCCTTGCCTTTCAAGTGTCACACGGCGGGTCAGGAGACTGGCCGGACGTCTAGCCCGACTGGGCCGCATGCGCAGACAGGACTGCAATTTGCTTGGCTGCTTCATGGTCCCGAAGAGTCGATTACTCTAGAATTTCTGTATGAGAAACTGGTAGAAATATCATAGTCCAGATTCCTTGTATGATTCGTGTCTACATAGGCTATCTCAAATAGACCTCAACATGATCTTGGTAATCATTCAGGCTTCCACACTGGGTGTCCTCCCGCCATCACGACTCTCGCCCTTCCAGCACCTGAAAGAATGGATGTCTAAGAGATGAATTACCAGGGATGGTGAGGAGTTTTGTATTTCAGGGACGGCATTAGTCCTAAACCCTCAAACCTAAACAATATGGCCCGTTGGTACTTGAACCATGCGAGTTGCACGTGGGGATTCAAGGATCTATATCAACCTGCTGATATCAAGATCAGACTAGGATATTGCCATCATAGGGATCAAATCTTCCTCACCTTGGTGTACCTAGAAGCTTATATACGTTTTGCGGAGAGTTTCATGGCTCAGATTATGATATCTACATGTGGGTAGAGGTATGTTACTACTTGGGAGGTCCAGGGGACTTAGCAAGCTGGTTTCAAATGGGGTTATGTTGGTTATGTAGACGTAGGCTAACTCCTCGTAGGGAGTTTATAATCCGGTCTACAACCTACTTACTAAGTCCCTTAAGCCTTCAAATAGGGTATGAGTATGGGCCTTCCGGTGGCCAGATGGGAGAGACATGTGAGCAATTGACTTTCAGTATTTCCGTTACCGCGGGCATGCTGGCCCTAGTTGGTAACCCTCAGCCGCAACCCCTAGACCCTAAAAGCCCTATACCCTTAAGCCCTAAACCCTAAGCCCTAAGCCCTAGAGGGCCCCTAAAGTTCCTTGTAGCATTTTTTCCGGCTGCAGCTGATATGAAGAGGGTCCTTTCGCTGGAGCGATTGGGGACTTCTGAGTACATCCCTGGCACCCATTGTGCTGCTTTGGGCATTGGAGGGTCAGGGGGACTTAGTAAGCGGGCTAATACTGTGGATAAGTAGGGTTACCATATGGGTTATAGGGGTTATCAACCTACTTACTAAGTCCGTCTGAGCCTCCAAGTACCCGCATCAAGGCCCCAATGTGATACATGTAAGAGAATCTGCTTTCAGCGATTGCGCACTTTCGAGTGCATTTTTTGACAGCCCAGGGCCCGAAGCATGGAAGATCAAGCGGGCAATTCCTTCACCCCCAAAACTATAAACCCTAAACTCGCAAAGCCTAAGCCCTGAACTCCCAAACCTCAAACTAAGAAATTACAAGGGTTATGCAGGGGTTATATAGGGTTATATAGGGAGAAATTAAGCCTGGATGGCACAGGTCGACCCAAGACTATGGCCTACCTCCCTCCCCACAGCGCTCATGTCCTCTGTCATTAGGCCAGGTCCCTTGCTCCAAATGCTTCTGGGTAGTTCCCAAATTAGGGCTCCATTTTGGTACCCCCAAATATTAGGTGTAAGCAAAAGGGGGGCCCATAATTTTGAGAACAACCCTTCTTTGGAAGCTCATAAGGTCAGGACCCTGTTCCAGATGCTTTCATCAAAGCCTCCTAATCCTCTCCCCCTTACATTAACCTCCCGCCCCCACACCCCCCTAATATGATGAAACACTCTCAATATACTATGATCTACCACAATGGGGAGTATTTGATATCAGCGGGTGGGGTGGGGGGGGTTAATATTAGGGAGGAGGATTAACAGCTTGCAGCGGCCCTGCCATCCCAACGGCCTTGGACATGGAAGGTTTCAGGGGTTTAGGGTTTATAGGGTTTATGGTTTATAGGGTTTATGGTTTATAGGGTTTATGGGTTTAGGGCTTAGGGGTTTAGGGCTACCCTGTTTAGGGTTTAGGGTTTCAAGAGTTTCAAGGGTTTCGAGGGTTTGGGGTTTCAGGGGTCAGCCCAGCTGGCTATCAGCCGCGCTTCCGTCCAACCGCCTTGCTCAAGCGTGCCGCTGCAAAGCCAAAGAACAACCAAACTTGCTGGTTCTAAGTAGGGAATACGGGAATATAATACCTATCCAGCCCCTATAGGATATATTCCCTGCAGAAAACCAGTAAGCAAAATGTTGGCGGTGGAGATCTGCCTTTCTTCTCGGTGTGCGAATCAGTCCAGGCTTAGCTCGAGGAAAGTTTTCTAGCCAAGATTGCCAGGCCAAACGTGTTGTTGGCTAAGATGGACCTAACATGACCTAACTGAGTGTGGGTCCTGCACCCTGAAAGGAACAGGCCTGGGTGGTTTGGCCGCCTCAGACTGACTGGGTACATGTGTTAGATGGCAAGCCCCTGTTGGCATATACCAGCATGTCGCACAGCACGACGCGCTCGAAGCGACTCTGTTGTTGCCTCACCATCCCAGCTGCACCGCTAGGTCGCAGCAAAGCTCCCAAGCTGCAAACCCTAAACCCTAAACCCCAGACCCTAAATTCCAAATCCCAAGCACTAAACCCTCAAGCTTAGAATAGAAAGGCGTTGCAAAGTGTTGAGGTCACAAAGCAAAGCACAAAAGAAAAGCACAACTCCAAGCAAGAACCCTACACAACTCCCATGAAGTCTCCGACCCCAAATACAAAAAATCTTGAAGCCCCACACCCTAAGCCTTTAGCTCTGAACACCAAACCCTAAACGATAATTTCTACACTCCAAAGGCCGCATAGACTAAACTGCACATTGTAAAGATACCAAAATATTGGGTACAAACTCGCTTTTCCAGGGTAGATTGATTACCCGAGGTCAGCCCTAAACATGTGCTTATGACTCCTTTTTTTAAATACCGTTGTATCTCCCAATGTGTTTGTTCCTGTAGACCTTAAACACACCAACAAATTGTAGTCTTAAGACTCTGTAAAGTAAAATCCATACATATATATATATATATGTCCATAGATCCCAAACTGAAGGTTGTTAGGGTTACAGGATGGGGCCGCTAGAAGCCCTGAAGCCTACCTTCCTAACCCTTAACCATAACTATTCCATCGCAGGAGCAAAGTTCGACTTCGAGCAGCGACCCCGGCCCAGTTGGGCTGCGCCCTTAAAGGAGCTGAATGAGGCAAGGCCAGTGGTTTAGGGCTTAGGGACCCTATAAGGGTATATAAGGAGATATAGGGTTTGGGGACCTTGAGGTCAAGTACCAAAGCAATGGGGCTGTAAAACCTAAACCCTAAATAGTAGCTTCCATTTTCTTTTACATTATCCCACTATAACCCCAATAATTTTACCTACTTAAGGGGGACTATATCCCTAAACCCTAGACCCTAAACCCTAAACCTTAAACCCTAAACCCTAAACCCTATACCTCTACTTAAAGGGGGCGGGACTATAAACCCTGAGGCGGCACCTCTCTCGCCACCTGCGCAGCTGAGACAGCCGAGGCACACGACCACTCTTTTTTTTCAATAGGGGGCCTTATAGGGTTTAGGGTGTAGGGTTTAGGGGTTGGTTTAGGGTTTAGGGCCTTAAGGGGTTGGTTTAGGGTTTAGGGCCTTAAGGGGTAAACCATGGGCCCCTAACATGAGCCCTTAACCCTGGGATCCTTATATACCCACTATATACCCTATGTGCACCCCTAAAAGGCCTAAGGGCTCACTGTAAGGGTCCATACTCCTAACCTTAGAATTATGTGCTATTACATGGAGATAAGGATATACTGGGATACATAATGCGATGGCTAGAGCTCCATAATTAAAAGGGATGTCTATATTCCAAGCGGCGTTGGGCTGCAGGGCTAGGAGGGGTTTAGGGTTAAAATGTCCAACGCTACTGCTGCATTTGTTGCTACATGAAGTGTCTAGGTTGTTGCGCAAGCTTGTTTAGCATCAAGCGCGCTATCCTAGTCAATAGAGGCTTCTAAACCCTAAACCAATCGAAAGAATATGGTGGTTTCCATAGCAAGGGCGACCCTCAAATATGGACCCCAATATACTATAAAATGAATGATATGGTGACCCCAAAATGGTAACCCGCACCCGACCGCCCTCCCCACCAAAAAAAGAAAAACATAGGAAACCAACAAGAAATTAATCCCTGAGCCCAAAACCCTAGAATTCCCAAAGTTTCACTCCGACGAGATGCCAACTTCAGTGCCCCACTTGCACAGGCAAAGCAGCCCCGTGCGTGTTGTGGCCCCGTGGCTGCGGTTTTCGAGTTTGGGATCTAGTGTTTGGGCTTTTTAGGGTTTCGGTTTAGGATCTGGGGCTTATAGGGTTTAGGGTTTAGTGCCTAGGGTTTTTAGGGTCCAGGTGGAGAATCCAATGGAGAACATCCAAAATTCAAGGTTGGTCGAAAGATTTTGCTGACCTTGACCCCCAATTGCAGCCATATTGCGGGTTGGCTTGGTATTGGCTGCGGTTGGCGGGTAGGTTATAGCAGGTTACAAAAGCATCGCATTTCTGAACCCGATTCTCAACCCTACACCCTGAGCTTCAAATCCTGAACCGTAACCTCAAAATCGTAAGCCCTAGACGATGAAGTCCTAGAGTCCAAAACCAAAAAATCCTGAACCCGAAGCCTGAAATATTTAGCATACATCCCCAAATCCCAAACCCTCTAGACGAGAAGCCTAGGCCCTGAAACTCATAATCCTAAACTCTAGACCTCAACCCTAAAGCCTAAAGCGTTAACCCTAAACCTCATCCCTAAACCCTAAACCCTAAACCTGAGCCCTTAACCGGCCTCTGACCCTAAGCCCTTAACCCGAAACATCAACCCTAAACTACTGTTTCCGTTGCGCCCATTTGGGCGTTACGGGTGGATGTTGTTCGGGCTGGTTGGGGCAAAAGCGGCTTCAGAAAAACAGCTAACGTTTGCGCAGTGGTATTTCATGGTGGTTTCGTCGAACTCAGCGCGTAAGCAGGCTTGCAGGGCCCACGTGGCCACATTCACGGAAACAACAGGCTTAGGCTTGACTTTGCAAAATGACGAAGTAACATTCTTCGGGCTTTTCGTGTCTTTGACACTAACAAAATGCGCAAACCTGAAA